ATGATTTATACACTCAAATTCATAATGTATTGTAATTTGTTTATCGATTCCTAATATAAAAAGTATCAGAAATCGTTGGCCGGGTACGAAGCTAGTGGAATTGAAGCGGCTTAAGAAAGAAGAGAAACGGGCGAAAGGGAGAAGGGAATTAGAGTAGGGTTGTAGAGTTGCAATAGATGGGACGACGGAGAAGAAGAATAGAGAGAGGGAAGAGAGTTAGAGATGAATCTCGCTTGAGAATGAGATTATCACTCGGCTGTGGCCTAATATCAAACTAACTTGTAACTCGGTGTAAATTACACGAAATATTGTATTTCAGTATTTATATTTTATGTTATGTTTAAGGTTATCAATCCTTTTAATTTTATTGGCAATCATTCGATCGAGATGATACACAAAGAATGAATGTATAGGTCGAATATTTGAAGAAATTCCCTCATCATTTAAATATATAAAATATAAAAATGTATACTTAATACCATTTCATAATGATAATTTCAGCCCCGTTAAAATGCTATTGTTTAATTGATTGTCATGAGTGATAGAGTATAAAAGAATATTGGAATTCTCGAACAACCCATAGATAATTGGAAACTTAACCTCGTCTAATGATTGTTGGATCCAATCATGCCGGATTAGAAAGGGGTTTAAAATTAGCGGTTAGCCTAGCTAAAACGTTCAAAGGACCTGTCTCATATAGATCGCACAAAGATATAAATATGATTGCTTCATAGTAGTTCTAAAAAATTAATACTTATTTAAGAATTATGCATATTCATTACTGGATTTTGATATGCAATAGTCGAACCATTGATATTTGAGTTGTGATTTTAAAGTTATCCTTATTTATAAGATATATAGAAATTAAAATTAAATGAAAATAATCACAATATAAAAATTGAAGTATCGTACATCAATAAGTACTTATCGGAATTTTACTTGGCTCGCTAACCATTGGAAAGTTATGTGATTTTAGGTTTTACCTTCATGTATGTTCTTAATTGACAGAGATACAACAAATCAATGTAATATGATTGGTTACAAACCATTGTCTTTGTTTAAAACAACCAAGGTTCAAATCTAGCAAGCAATATATTTATGATCCAAACTTATTTTATTGAAACTTGCAAAATTAAATTTTACTAATGCAATGGGGTGTATTAGCCCTTAACTCCTCCACATTCCTGATACGCCCAAGTCATCTGGATCTGAACCCCAACCGCCGGTGGTCGATCTCATGGATCCTGACGCTTCCGATAGGCTTATAATCCATCACCAGCTCAAGGAGATGGTCGCAGATCTAGACATCTCCCCTAAACCGGAGGAGCAGGCACTTACGTTCCCTGAATCGGAGGAGGAGGACGAATCGGATGAGGAGTTGTCGGAGGGATCGGAAGAGGAGGCCGAATCGGAGGAGGAGTCGTCGGAGGGATCGGAGGAGGAGTTATGCCATGGTGAATAAGCTTGTGCATAATTAAGGGGGAGTTCCTCTTCTTCTCTCAATATTTGTTTCATGGCATGGTCGATCAATACAGTGAAGTGGCATGTCATTAATTCCCTTATGCAAGAGTTTGTGTTGAAACAGTTTGGTGACATTGTCCATTATTATGTAGGCTACGTATGTGCATATACATCTTTGGCCCTGCTGGTTTTTACAGCAAAGTACTTTTGCAATCCTTGTTAATCATGTCTCATTGATCTTCTGATCATCAAAATATTTAGCTTTGCTTATTTGTTCGTTTATTCGCAGAATCCAATGTGATCATATTTTTCCTTAGAAGTTGAACAGATTGTTTCCTAATGGAAGATACTTTTCTCTTTCTAGACGAGTATGTGGATTTGTTACAGCCTTCCGACGAGCTTACTGAGAAGCGCACAAGGGTAAAGAAAGAGCTAGTGTCCACCTTGGACGAGAAAGATAGACAAGTATTTGAGCTCGAGGGAAAATCCAAAGATGGTGAAGTAAATGCCCTGATGACGAGGGAGAAAGAGTCCAAAGCTACAGGTCTGGCCCCGCTCTCTTTGAACTAGACGAAGACAACTATGATCAGTATACTTGAATGATGTTGTGGCTGAAAACTAAAGTGGAGTGGTTGCGACTTGCGAGCTCTGATCGGAAGATAACAGGCGTTGATGTGTCAATGTGCTAGGACAACACTTGTTCAGCCGATGATAGTTGATGTGGACATGTGGTTGGCTTCATTCCTGCAAGACAATGGAGTAGAACTCCTAGTGATGGCAAAGTGGATCCAATATTTGATATTGTCCAAACCAACTTTTTATGATTCAACTCAAGTTTGATTAATTATATTTTTGGATATATTTTTGGATATAAGGGATTTTGGGAATAAATTTAGCTTTAATTTTTATATTTTCACATACATTCTGAAAATATTTCTATAAAATTACTTGTAGTCCTAGAAAAGTTATGCGGAATAAAAAAAATTTCACTACGATTGAATAATCGAGCACAAAGTTAAGGTCATTGAAAATTTCAACATAGTGGAGTTTGTCTGACTAGATCTGTATTTTTTTTTTTTTTGATGAATAATGACTAGATCTGTATTGAGTTAGTCTGACTCAGTCTGGATTGATCCCATTGGTGGTTCGAGTTGACTCGAACCAACCCAAACTTAGGTATTTTGGAAAAAAATACAAGTGCGTTAGTTTAGGAATTTATTTTAATTATTGTTGTGTTTAGAAATTGTTTCCTCGTCCTCCTTATATAGAGAGCTAAAACCCTAAATCGGTCAAAGATTAGGTCAGTAACCATTGGATACTCACCCATGAGTAATTACATCTGGACCTTCTAGGGATGGCAACAAAACCCGAACCCACGGATACCCTACCCGACCCAACCCGATCAATGAGGGTAAAACCTGTGTTGACGGGTTTTGGGTCGGATTTGGCTTTAAACCCGTTACAATTTCATCGAGTTGGGTTGGGTTTGGGTTTAGGGATACCCGACCCATAGGTAGCCACCCACACTTACTCCGTCCCCTACTCTCCAAATCCTACCATAATTCTAATTTCTTTTTTCGTTGAATCAGTTGCCCTTGTATTACAAGTAACCAATACAACGAAGGTGGGGAAATTCATCCCAAAATTCTCCAACAACCTGCCAAGAAACTAATCACCTATCTTTGTACTATCATCTACAAAACAAAATAAACAAACCCCCCTAACCGCCAAAGGAATCCCAACCTCACCAAAGTATCACGAGCCCCTCTATTTCCATATGTGATAAACACCAGTTCCTATTTTATAAGCTCTGCAACCTGCTTTGGAGTGTGTACTAGAGTTCCAAATACCACCTGACACCTCTCCTTCCAATTTAATTTATAACTTATATGGATAATTCGTAATTTGTTTGAATTGTCTAGACTCGTGTTTTAGGTATGGATAATTTCTATGAAGAAATTGATGTTTGACTTTTATTTTGATAGGAACTTGTCATTGTAAATTTTTTACCACAAAAACTCATGGGTACCCATGAGTCCGCTGATATCCAGCGGGTTGGGTTGGGTTTGAGTTTTCCAACCCCATTGGGTTTTACCCCGGGTTTTCTTGATGGATAAACCCATGAGTTTGGGTTTGGCAAAACCCGACCCAACCCGACCCATTGCCATCCCTAGGACCTTCCCTTTTAAGTAGGCCCAGAAATTCAGATCTAAGAATTGTGAATTGAAATCACTTTATTTTCCCTAGTTTCCTTAATTGATTCTTAGGGGTCGTTTGCTTCAAGGATTTGGTACATGGATTTGGTACCAAAAAACCAACTATCAAGGATTTAGGTACAATCCATTGTTTGCTTGCACCTTTTTTGGAGACCAAATCCGTGGGGCCCACGGATTTTAAGGGTCCAAATCCGTGGACCCCACGGACTTATAAATCCCACATGTTGATGTGGGATTTGGAATATGGCATAAATCTTTGATGAGATTTTACCCATATATCCTCATGCACTTTTAATATTCCAAGGTTGCCCTCAAATTTAACTATTATACATTATAATTAACAATAAATGAATAATATAAACGTTCAATTAATGTGCAAACATGAGTTAGATTTTTTATATCATTTCTTGTGTTCTAGTTTTCTTTGACCTTTTCATGGAACGTGTAATTCTTTGTTCTCGCGATTCTAATATATGTTGTTATATGTCACTTTTGAAAAGGAGGACAAAGAATTGGTAATTGATTATGTTACGTTAAAAGTTAAAACGGAATTTTCTCGTTTATTATTATTGTCCATGTGGCAACATTATGCTTATTAGTATGTATTGTCCTTGTTTTGTGTACATATCATAAACATGTCAAACATATAGAAAATGATAGTAAGGTAATTTTGAAGTTTTGTCCTTGTTTTGTGTACATATCATAAACATGTCAAACATATAGAAAAGGGCAGGGGATGGGATTAGGTGCTAACCCTTATAGGGGTTAGCACCGTGATAACTAGCAAAAAACGCTACTAGAAACAACGAAATCACTAGGGATTATTATAAAATCAATACAACATCTAAGCTAAATCGCTACTAATTCAAACTAGTAGTAGTTTTTCCCTTGGTTAGTACGATGCTAACTATTGTACAATTAGCACCGTAACTCCTCCCAAAGGGCAGTAATGTAACTTTGACTTTAAGTAGTAAATCCCACACCTTTAAATCCATGATAAAAACATCCCAACAAACAAAGGATTGTTACAAATCCATAATGCCTCAAATCCTTGATAAATCCTTGGGTTTTTAAATTACAAAACCCTCATTTTTAAATCCATGAAGCAAACGACCCCTTAATTCTTATCTTCTTAGTTTGTTGATTTATTGAATTGTTTATTTTTTTTTTTTTGTTAACGTGGAATGCTGATTGGATTCAATTAAAGAATTTTTGAGTGAAAGTGGACGGATTGACCACTTCGTTATTAGTCCAAATGTATTTTATTAACACATGTAAAATTAAAATTTAGTAATCATTTTGTACTCAGTGATAAAGTTGTGAGAGACTTACTCCTCCGTATCCCTATACGCCAACTCATCTGGATCTGTACCCGAACAGCCGGTGGTCGATTTCATGGATCCTGACGCTTGCGATAGGGTTATAGTCCATCACCAGCTTAAGGCGATGTCGGAGGGATCGGAAGAGGAGGAGGAATCGGAGGAGGAGGAATCGTCGGAGGGATCGGAGGAGGAGGGCGAATCGGAGGGGGAGTCGTCGGAGGGATTGGAAGAGGAGGCCGAATCGGAGCAGGAGACCATTAAGCCAAAGATATATTTAGGACCGCCGGAGGGTTTTGATAGTTATCCAGAGAACAAATACGGGAAGAGATCCTGTCAACGCTGCCAAAAGCTTCGAGAGCGGGAGTTCAAACCCAAGGACGACGATTGCAATTATTTATATGATAAGGACGATTTTGAGGGCGACGAAGAGCTTAAGCTGCGGGTAATCCATCACAGGAAAAAGAAGTGGATCACCGGTGTAAGTAGTTCCAACCTTGTAACCTAATTATTTATATTTCTACTAATTATTATTCAAATTCTAATTAGCAAGCTAGGGTTCTCGATTTTGTTAATTGGGTTCGTGCTCATTGGGTCTGGGTCCAGGGGAATGCCTTTGTTTCTTCCATTAATTTTTATAGGCGGTTTTGCAATGAAATTAGATCTCTTATTTTCTTACTCGCAGGGATTTTATGCGGATTGCCAGCCAGCATACACTAGATACGGAGGCATTTACCACCAAGAACATCACTGGGAAGTTCTGAATTTAGACGAGATGATCCGCTCTTCTGTTAGATTCGTCATCAAGCAATATAAAAAGCTGAAGGTAATTATTGTTACCATTAGTGTACTGTTAAAAGGAATAGTTCGTTCTATTACTGAATTCACTAACCCGAAAAACCATGTCATGCTTGCCAAGTTGCCATTCCTAATGCATGTGTATGTTCACTACAGGGCCACGGCTTGATTTTAAAAGACATTCTGAACACGACCATGGAGCGATATGCCTGTTGGTGGTTCTATGTGACTTTTACCGGCTGCGAACAGTCCTCCTCTGATGAAGTCCGGATTTACCAGACCCTGGTGGCCTATTTCTTCAGGGGGGGAGAACATGAAGTTGCAATCCTCAGGAGGAAAATTATCGGTCAAGGTAAGCAACAGTTTGTTTTTCACAATTCATCAGTGCATATACTTTAAATGGTTAGGGTATCGAGATGTATGCAGTTACTAAATTGGCAAGGTCGGTCACTGGGTTTACTAAAAACGTTCATGTTTGGTCACTACAAATATTTAATTCCGTTCGTGGTCACTGAGATTAGTTCAATAGTTCATGTTTGGTCACTCTCCGTTAGTTTCCATTCACTTTTGCTGACGTGACCATCAATCTTCATAGTTGACCGTTAAATTAATGACGTGACTATTATAAAATTAAAAAAAATAAAATAAATTTATAGTTTTACAATTTCCACCTCATTTGTCATTACTATTAAAAATAAAATTCAATTTTAATAATCACCCAAAAACCCAACCTAGCGTCCTCCTCCACCACCTATGCGCCGTTTAATTGCCCTACTGCTGCTACCGCCGTCACCACAGCAAAAGCATAACCACCGCCGCCACAACAATAGCCGTGACAATGAAGTCAACAAAACCCCCCATGGCCTCTTCCTCTCCCCATTCTCCACCATCTCAATCGAACCCACCACCGCCACCATCGCAAACAACAACACTACGTCCGTCGGTAAGAAGAAGGGCTAACCGCTGCCGCCCGCGGTCGCAAACTGAAATGGCCAGCGCATGGGTTGACCGACCGACGTTGTAGTCTCTTCGATTCATAGACAATTTGAATTCTCTGTAGTTCTCCATCAATTTGTCGGTGAAACCTCACATGGGCTCTCACTGAAGTTTCTTTACCTTCAATTGTAATTTGTGGCTCCAAGCAATTAATGGATGAATTAGTGGATGGAACAAACGAGCCTGGAGGAAGCGCAAGGAGAAGAGATGGAGGCTGGTGGACTTTTTGGGCTTTCTTCTCTTTTCGTTTTGTCGATGGGGAGTTTCATATGGGGAGTTGGTGAAAAGAAAGGGGAGAAGAGAAAGGGATGGTGAATTAGAAGATATTAGGGTTTTAATTTATTTTTTAATGAATGTGTAACGAGGTGGAAGTTTTGATAAATTAAATTTTATTTTTTATTAATTTTTTAATAGCCAGGTTATTTATTTACCGATCAACTATGAAGGATGCCTGCTAATTCAGCAAAATTTAACTGAGACTAACGGAGAGTGACCAAACATGAACTATTGAACATATTTTAGTGACTACGAATGAAATTAAATATTTGTAGTGACCAAACGTGAACGTTTTTAGTAAACCCAACGACCATCCTTGCAATTTACCCGATTGTTTCCTAATGGAAGATACTTCTCTCTTTTTAGATGAGTATGTGGATTTGTTACCGCCTTCCGACGAGCTTACTGAGGAGCGCACAAGGCTAAAGAAAGAGCTTATGTCCACCTTGGACGAGGAAGATAGACAAGTATTTGAGCTCGAGGAAAAAATCAAAGGTGGTGAAGTAAATGCCCTGATGAAGAGGAAGAAAGAGCCCAAAGCTACAGGTGTGGCCCCACTCTCTTTGGACTAGACAGAGACAACTATGATCAGTATAATTGATTGATGTTGTGCCTGAAAATCAGAGAGGAGTGATTGCGACTTGCGAGCTCTGATCGGAAGATAACATGTGTTGATGTTTCAAAGTGCTAGAACAACACTTGTCCAGCCGACGATGGTTTACGTGGGTGGCTTTGTTCCTGCAAGACATCGTAGTACATCCATTTATAGGGATGGCAAAGTGGACCCAATATTTGGGTATTGTCCAAACTAAACTTTTTATGAGTCAAATCAAGTTTGATTAATTATATTTTTGGAACATATTCATATACAATTATTTAGTTTCGGCCTAAATTGGACTCGTAGTATTGGAAGTCCAAAAGAAAATGGTACTCAATTATAATGCAATTTTGTTATTATTTTTTCGGGTAAAATACCTCGGGTGCCACTTAAGTTTGAGAATTGGGGTAGACATACCACTTAAGTTTGAATAGGGAGTCATGTACCATTAAAGTCGCCAAAATGTACATTCGTTTACTTTTCCATCCAATCCAAACTTTTAATTACTTTTCCATACCCAAAATTTGTAAAAACATCCAAAATTATATTTTTCACAATTTTTATCTAATATAATAATTAGAAAATCTTCTAAACATATTATTACTAGAATGAATAATAAAAAAATTTCAATAAAATAGGAGGTTTCTTCGAATACTTCCAGGCTTCCTTTTCTTCATCCAATTCCACGACGTTGTAGAAGGACATGCGAGCTTTCATGTGATGCCTTCCTCCTGTTTCGACTTTCCTTCAAGCCCCTCGAATTAAAGCTCAAAGTACCCTGCTCGAACACAGTTTCATACTTAGTCGAATCTGGCAATTTTTCCAGTGTTGAGGTAGCATCTTGAGGGACCTGAAACACCAACTTCTGGACTTCCCCTCGAACCCCAAAGTACACCAACTGAAAGAGTAACTCTCATTCTTCAAGACAAGCCCGAGAACTCCAATTTCCATCAACCCAACAGCGAACTAGGCTTGTACAAAGTTGGTACCTGAAATAGTCAAAAACACTTGGGCAGATTTTACGTTTAAGCTTTGAATCTTTAACGATCAATCCTGAATGACTTAAGGAGGAATTCAGGATTGTATCACCAGAAGCTGGGAAGAAAAGGCCAGTGGCGGGAGCAGATTTGAGGTATCTCAGGATTCTTTGAACTGCTTTGAAATGTTGAACACTAGGGTTAGACATGAACTGGCTGACTTGTTGAGTGGCGTAGCTAATATCTGGCCGAGTTGTGGTGAGATATATTAGTTTGCCAACTAGTGTTCTGTAGAGCTCAGGATCTGGATAGGGTGTTGCACATTCACTGCTCAAGTGTGTCTTGTAATCCATTGGAGTAGTAACCTTTTTTGAATCAAGAAGCTATGCTTCTTCAATAAGCTCGAGTGTATATTTTCTTTGAGAAAGATGGATCCCTTTGTTGTTTCAAGCCACTTCAATGCCTAGGAAGAAACGTAGAGAACCCAGGTCTTTGATACTGAAGGCAGTGTGAAGGTTTTGCTTTAGATGCTGAATTTCCTGTAATTCATTACCACCTAGGAGCAAGTCATCCACGTAAATTAGGATGCAAGTGTAGGTAGGGGTGGCTATACGGTCAGGTCCGGTTAAATTGGCCCAAATTGATCCGGTCCAGTCCGGTTGTTTTGAAAATATAAGGACCGAAGATTGGATTGGATACAGTCCGGTCTTGATCCGGTCCGGTCTTGACCCGGTCCGGTCCCAATTCGGTCTTGATTTTATATTGAGATTGTGGGAATTTGAGTGGCCTAAGGCCTAAAAGGGTGAGGAGTTGGTTAAGTTTTGTACTAAGTGCAAAGGTTTGTGACCGTTTATGCAAATTACCCTTAAGTTTTGGGTGTTGAGCTCTCTTATCCGGTCTTTATCCGGTTTTTTACCTCAAATCTAAGCCCAAAGATTGGATTGGATTGTTTACTATCCGGTCCCGGTCCGGTCTCGGTCCGGGTTATAATGTCCGGTTTCCGGTTTTTCATCCGGTCCCGGTCCAAATAGCCAGCCCTAAGTGTAGGTAGACTCAGTAGCTTTGTAGAACAAAGAATGATCAGTTTTGCTCTGAATGAATTGGAGTTGAAGAAGTTTGTCAGTGAGCTTCGAAAACCACTATCTTGAAACTTGTTTTAACCCATAAAGCGACTTCTTTAGTTTGCATACTGGACGTTTGAAACCAGATGGTGGTACATAACCCTTTGGTAGAGTCATGTAGACCTCCTCCTGTAGATCTCCATGGAGGAAGGCATTGTTCACATCCAGTTGGTGAACATGCCAGTTCTTCATAGCTGCTATGGCTAGGAATGTTCTGAAAGTAGTCATCTTGATTATTGGGGCAAAAGTGTCCTGGTAATCTACCCCCTCTTGCTGTGTGTTACCTTTTGCCACAACTCTGACCTTAAATCTATCCAGAGAGCCATCAGATTCGAACTTCAGTTTGTAAACCCATTTGCTGCCAATGGGTTTCTTGCATTTAGGGAGCTCAACAACATCCCATGTTTCATTTTGTATCAAAGCTTTTGTCTCTTGCTGCATTGTAGCATTCCAGCGAGGATATTTGGAGGCTTCCTCATATGTGTTAGGTTCAGTATGAGAGGAGATACTGAGAACAAAATGTTTGTAATGAGGAGCTAGAGAATCATAGGAGAGCGTAGAAGATAGAGGGTACCTTTTTTCCTGGTCCTGGAGAGAGGAAATCTGACTGGTAGTGCTGGACTTCTGTAACAAGTAACAGTGATAGTCTTTGGTGAGATGGGTGGGTGGTTTAGATTTTCTGTCTGAACGACGAACAAGAGGGTTAGGTGGAAGGAGGGGTGGGGGAGGAGGACTTGGGGAGTGAGAACTAGGAGAGGAACTGGTGGTAGGAGATGAGATGGGGGAGTGATCTGGCTGTGGAGAAGGAGATGGAATTGTTGGTGGAGAAGGAGGGTCAAACGTAACTGTAGGGGGTGGAGGAGGAGGAAAAATGAAGTCTTAAAAGACATGTGGTGAAGGTGGTGAGGGGAAGAGAGAACTGTTGGTTGGGGTAGTTGGTACTTCACTGCTTGCTAGACTTTTGAAGGGAAAATCATTCTCATAAAAGACAACGTCTCAGGAAGTGTAAGTTTCATGAGTATTAAGGTCATAAATCAGATAACCCTTAATCACTGCAGTGAACCCTATAAAAACACATTTTCTAGCTCTAGGTTGGAACTTAGTGCAATGATTACCTAGAGTGCTAGCAAAAGATAAATAGCCAAAAACTCTTAACTGAGAAAGATCTAGTTGTTTGTTGTGTAGAAGTTCATAGGGTGTTTTGTTGTTCAAGACTGTGGAGGGTACTCTATTTATGAGAAACACTGCATCTTTAACACAGAAACCCCAAAAACTAGCTGGCAGATCAGCTTGAAACATTAAGGCACGAGCAACAACAAGAATATGTTGGTGTTTGCGCTCAACTTTGCTATTCTGTTGGGGGGTTTGGACACAAGACATCTCATGAATGATTCCCTTTTCAGCATAGTAATCATCCATTTGGAATTCTTTTCCTTGATCACTCCTTATCCTTTTGATTTTTGTGTTGAAATGTCTTTCATTCTGCTTGCAGAAGGCAAGCAGTTTTGGTCTTGCTTCTGACTTTAACTCCAATAACATAATCCATGTCATTCGAGTGTAATCATCAACTATGGTTAAAAAATACTTATAACCATCAGAAGTAGGAACAGAATTGGGACCCCATAAATCAACATGAATAAACTCAAAAGTTTGATGAGTTACAGATTGACTGATAGGAAAGCTAAGTCTTCTTTGCTTAACAAAATGACAGACATCACAAGGCTGGTCTTTGATAGTTTGGATGGAGGTACAAAATTGGCTGAGGTGTGGAATTTTAGAATGGAAACTTGTCCTAATCTAAAATCCACAGATCAAAAGTGTTTGTCCTAGCAGCAGTGATGTATTTAGGGTTATGGTTTACTTCTAGATGGTAGAGTCCATTGGTGAGTCTAGCAGAACTAGTCATTTTCTTCTTCTCCAGGTCCTGTATGAGACAAAAGTTAGAATAGAAGGTTAGGTAGAGGAGTTTTTTGGAAGTGAGCTTGCTCACAAAAATTAGGTTAAAGGTGATATGGGGTATGTACAGAACATCTTCGAGAATGAGATCATCAGTACACTTATCTGTACCAATATGTGTTGCTTTGATCTGGTCTCCAGTAGGCAAAGTGATAAACACATTGTTTATCTCCTTATACGCAACTAGGTTGTCAAGAGTACACACTATGTGATCTGATGCTCCAGTGTCAAGAATCCATGGTGTGTTCTTCTTGTTTGTTTGATTAAGTATATGAGTAGTCAAAAGAAATTTACCTGGTTCCTTTGGACCGTTGATGAAAGCAGCAGCAGTGTAAGAACCACTAGGTTGCTTCCGATGAAGCAAATTCATCAATTTCTCATAATCTTCTTTGGTGAGCTTGATGTCTTGATCATTCTGATTGGTAGAGGTCATGTTTGCATATCCTCTTCCTCTTCCTTGTCCTGTGGAACCTCTAGTGTTGCTGCTGGGAGGGAAACCATGTTTAAAGAAACATCTTTCTTTTGTGTGCTCTTGCATTCTGCAATAGTTGCACTCGAGTCTGGGTTTCTTGTATCAACTCCAGGAGGCCATCCATGTTTCTGGTAACACACCTCCTCAGTGTGTCCTTCCCTCTTGCAATAAGTACAGTAAGGCCTTTTTCCTGTCGCATTTGGCCTTCTGTTTCCTCCTTGAGCAGCTAGAAGTGGTGACTCTAGACTTGCTGCAACCATCATCTTTCCTTGTTGTGTCCCATACATCTGTCTTTCATGTTGCAACATTCTCTGAAAGACTCTATTGATGTTGGGAAATTCGTCACCAAAAAGAACTTGTGACCTGACTGTAGAAAAGTTCTCATTCAGTCCTGTAAGGATCTTGATGACATAGCTTGTGTCCTGGTATTCCTAACCTTCTTCATAGCTCTGCAGGTAAGGTGGCTGGTGGGAGTACAGTCACATGGGAAGAGTGCCTGATAGTTTTCGAGCTCATCCCTGAGTGTGATGACTCTTCCATAGTACTCTGTGATTGTCTGGTTTCCTTGCTTGAGATTAGACAGAGACTCCTCAATCTCTGCAACCCTTATAATATCACCAGCCCCATACCTAGATTGCAGACTTTTCCAAGCCTCAAAGGTTGTCTTACTAGAAAGAATGGTTTTCCTAATCTCTGTTTCAACAGATTGCTGAATCCAGCTTAGGATCATAACATTGTTCCTGATCCATGCCCCATGCCTTGGATCTGTTGGATCTGGCTCAACCATAACACCACTAACAAACCCCAACTTGTTCTTAGCAGCTAGTGCATTATACATCGCTCTACTCCAATCATTGTAGTTTGTAGTGTTAAGTTTCTCTGCTACTAAGAGGATACCTGGTTGGTCAGATCCGTGAAGAAAATAGGGGTCCTCCATCTGGTAGAGTTGTTGATGTTGCTCCTGTGCATTGTTGTTGTTTGCTTGCTCATCCTCATTGTTAGCTGGCTGATTTTGTGGGTGTGGATCATTGTTGTTGTCTGCCATGGTTTCACTAGCGGCGGTGGCGAGCTAGGTTGAGCAACCAGGCTCTGATACCATAACAAAGTTTTAGTTTGGGTGAAACCCTAAGGCCTGATTTCTCATTCATCAGATTTTACAATATATAGGGAGGCTGGTTGCTACAAGACAATCATGGCCAGCCTGCTCTGTCTCCATATATTTTGTTCTCTTTACTTGAAAGGGAAACAAACCAAAAGCTTGACGAAAAAGAAAGACAACACTCAATATAGAACCCAACGACACCGTTGCACATAAACGGTGCGTTTTACATAAAACGAAATCCCCTTTTGTTCAACGTCTTCTTCCTTCCAACGTCTTCATCTTGTCTGCTGGTTTTGAAATTTCAATTGGCCTGTCCTGTTAGGAATCGAAGGGGAGTAACAAAGCCGAAAGAGAACCAACCGTGTCCGATATTTCTACCTTATGGAAAGGACAGAGAGCATGCGATTCGTCCCGTCCAGAACGTTGTAGCTGAAATCGGAGTCCGAATCGCAGCAGTCTAGGTCCGATGAATCGAATACCGATCGCTCGCCGCCTACAGTGTAGTCGTCGTCTTTTTCTTGTTCTTCTTCAACTTCTCGTCCTCCTCTCGGAAACGTTGATGCTTGAGTTGTTATTTTATTATTTTTTAATTGTCACGTCACCTATTTAATGGTCAAATTTCAGAGTTGACTGCCACGTCAGTTAAAATTAATGGAGACTAACGGAGAGTGACCCAATTTGAACGGTTGAATTAATTTTAGTGACCATAAATGAAATAAATTAATTTTAGTGGCAAACGTGATATTTTTTAATAATTCCAGTGACCAAACTTGCAATTTAGCCGTAAAAAAAGACGTCAGGCCGGGATACAAGCCGCCGTTCTGGTTCGCCGTTTTCTTCTGTCAGTCGACGTCTCGAGTCTCGACGCCAGTTTCCTCCCGCGCTTAGACTTCGAGTGCGGATCTGGTGACTAAGGGGGGTCCTTAGTCACTTGACTAAGCCCCTCCTAGCCATTAGATTTGGACACTTCAATCCAATGGTTAAAAAGTGGGAAGGGCTATTTAATTAATGACAGGGGTAGTTTGGGTATTATGAAAAATTGCGAAGTATACAAACCGGATTTACAATCAGTACAAACCATACACACATACGAACAGTATAAACTAGAGCGACAAAACATACAAACAGATTTACAAACATTACAAATGTATGAACTGTACAAACAATACAAACTAGACTGACAAACAATACAAACCATACAAAAAGAAAAAACAACCGGGTTGACTTTGGAGGCTCCATCCCTATATAGAGGGGCTCCTTCCCAAAGTCAACCCGGGTGTTTTTTAGACATACAAACAGTACGAACATGGTGGAAAAAAACGACAAACTAGACCGACAATCCATACGAACTGAAAAAAACACCCGGGTTGACTTTGGAGGCTCCATCCCTATATAGAGGGGCTCCATCTCAAAGTCAACCCGGTTGTTTTTTAAACATACAAACATTACGAACATGGTGGACAAAAACGACAAACTAGACCGACAATCCATACGAACTGAAAAAAACACCCGGGTTGACTTTGGAGGCTCCATCCCTATATAGTGGAGTTCCATCCAAAAGTCAACCAGGTTGTTTTTTAGACATAAAAAACATTACAAACATGGTTGACAAAAATAACAGAGTTTACAAACATTACAAAAAAACCGACAAACAGTACAAAGCATACTAACCGTACAAAAATGTCACTAAAAATGACAAACAATACAAACCGAATCTATACAAACATTACAAAATAGGTCAGCAAACATTACAAATCCAACACTGTCGCCGGGAAATTTCCTCCGGTCTGCGGAAAAGTATCCTCCGGTGATTGCATGGCATGGGAAAAAATTCCCATGGTCCCTGTCGGAAAGGGCCGCCTGTCTGGAAACAATTTCCCCTTCGGAAAGGGAAGCAGGACGGCGGGCGGACGCGCAGGCCCAATTTTTTTTAATTAATTCATAAATAAAAACTATAATTACCACCTTACCCTTCATTAAACTAGATAAATCTGAGCCATTGGATTTGAATGAACTTCAATGGCTGAGATTGGCTTAGTCATGTGACTAAGGGGACTATGATCTTAGCCCCTTAGACTTCCCTTCGCCGGGTTTAAGATTCTGGAGATTTTGAACTTTTCGCTGCTTTCTAGGGTTTCTTTCTTTCTCCTCCCTCCTGGTTCTGAAATCTCGGTGGCGGAAAAATGGACGTCGAAATGGAAACTTCGCCTGGCTACGAAGACCTCACCATCAGAGAAAAGTTTCGTCGCTACGGGTACTCCTGCTGAACCTGTCATATTCAACCCTTTTCAACTCGCTATTCTCAGTTCGCTTTATTCTTTAGAGTCGCTGTATTGTCAGGTAGCAGGAGGATTATAGACGACTGAATTGAATTTATGCAGTTCTCCTGCGTGGTTGATTTCGTACTGTGATTATTGAACTCCGCAGGCTAGGGTCTTCTCTCTATTCAGTACACTCTTGTTCATTGTTCTGCGAATCTGATTTTCCCCCCTTTGCCATATTCGAAGGCTCTTCACCCCCCCCCCTTTCTCGTGAAGCAAATGGAACTCTGAATCGTTTTATTGATTAGATATACGAGAATGAACTGTGTGTTCTTGTATGTTATTGAGTTTCTATATCTTAATACGTTGTTGATTTTCTGAGAAAGCGTGCTGTATGCAGTAAAAGGCACTCGATATCTAGCCCAAGTCAAGACAGTACGAATTCGAAGTTCAAGGACTCAAGACTACTGTATGATGGGCAAAACATACACAGTCCCACAAATGCTGTGCTTCTGCTAGAGGATATTAAACAAGAGGCTGATGGTTTGGGCTCTGATCACTTTGATGCCACACCTGGGAAGGTGCAAGCTTCGGGTAAAAGGAGGATGGCGATTGATGGATTTTCAGAGAGTGATCTCATTGTTGATCCAGAACTCCAGACTGGAACTAAATTGCTCAAAGCATGCAAAATGGAGGAAGAATCAGCTGACAGCGGAGAACCTGTGTTTGGTCTATTCGCATCTCTTCTGGATTCTGCTATTCAAGGTCTCATACCTTTTAGTTTAGTTTACGTTCTAATCTGTGAATCTTAGTGGGAAAACCTGGGAGAAATTGTTAAGATTCGAGAGTGGTAGTGGACATATTGTCTTGTTTGAGCAGTGTTCTGATTGAGTTGTGATGCGGGGACTGTCCACTTATGCTTTTTAGAATAGTAGCTTGTCTGTGTTTTGGTAATGGAAGTTGGTCTGATACCAGAATGGACTGCTTCATCAAGGACAAGTTATCTTTCTGCCTTCGCAGTCATCTTTTAACTTTTTGTGAACAGCTTACCTTGCTGTCTATGTTTTATTCCGTGTGATACTGGTTGGAATGGTTTTAGAGTGGTAGTTCTTTGGAAGGTCGGAGCATAAAGTTTTAGGTCTCAAGAGTTTGCTTGCACTGCTGTTGAAATATAAATACCAAGTTGCTTTCGTGTATGCTCTATGTCAAATCTCTTTAGTTTCATCTTTGTTTAAAATGAATCTATCTAATTTTAACTAGCGTAGAAATGAAATCACTTTAAAGTATTTGAATTGTAGACACTATCGTATAAATCAATCTAGTGGTCTTGGCTCTGCTACTACTTAGTGACTGATTGAAAGGCTCATTTCCTTGTCTTCTGTAGGCTTGATGCCAATTCCAGATTTGATTTTGAGATTTGAGAGATCATGCCGTAGTGTATCGGAAGATATAAGGTGAGTTGCATATAATATGGAATACATACATGTCTTGACCATGACTTGTCAGTCTTTTTAGTGCAGACTATTACGTTTGAAAACATTTATTCTCCAGATTGTCCCTCTCTGTCTTCATGATTGGAATAAGTAAGATCAGTTGTTTGGCTTCACTATATCATCAGGGTTCTTTGTTATTGCTTGTACAGGTCCCAGTCAAACAGAAGGCATCGAGTTCTAGAGGACAAATTAATGCGGCAGAAGGTTCAGCTCCTGCTGGATGAGGCTGGCACCTGGTCTCTTCTGTGGTACCTCTATGGGAAATGTGAGTTTTTTTTTTTTGTAAAAGTTTTCCCATTTGCAGCATATGTCTTGAGTGAGATTTTGATAGAAATATCATTACTGTCTTTGCATCTTTGTGTTTGAATGTTGAGTGGATGCTAGTATTAATGCGGGGCACAGTCTCGTTGGTAACATGGTATGCGTCCCAGTATATGTCAAACTTCACTTAGTTGACAAAGGAGGGGGAGCTTGATGGTGAAATACACTTTTTGATCTTTTGTTTTTATGTTGTGAAGTGACCTTATGTTTCTAAAAGTTGATTGCAACAAGAATGGACGCTATGAGAAACTTCTCTTCTAAATTCCTGTAGATTTACCATCTTATCCTTAGCCACAGGTCCACCCTGTTACTATGCTATATTTCTAATTTGCTCTCCTAGATTCTTCTTGAAGATAGAGGAACCTATTACCAGTCTTTCTTTTTGTCTTTCTGCACCTCTCATGTGCATTTGATTCATGAATTCTATATGTTACTTTCTGATCTTGGTTATCTGTGGATAATGACACTCAGAAATTTTCCTATTCGTCTTAACTCTGATGTTCGTGGTCCATGAACCTTGTCATGTGGGTTGTGGTGTTGATATAAATCCATTATGCTTCTTACAGCGACAGAAGAACCTATTGAAGACCTGCTTGTGGTACACAATTTCTTTTCTCAGAACCATTATGAAAGAATACATTAAGGATGCTTTTCTGAAATTTCTGCTGGTTCACTCTGACTTACTAAAACTACCAATTCAGAATGGTTGTTCACTGCTTTGTCTTCTGAACTATTTGAAGGGATCCATTTATACTACCCCAAAACTCGACCCCACGTAATCTCATGGATTCTTTGTTTGTTTTCGACAGTCTCCATCAACGTCACATGTAGAGGCGTGCCAGTTTGTTGTAAATGACCATACAGCACAACTTTGCCTCCGTATCATTGAGTGGCTGGAGGGCTTAGCCTCCAAATCCCTAGATCTTGAAAGCAAGGTGATTCCTAAGTTCATTGCATTTTCGATTTGCGTCTTTAGATTTTTTACTTGGCTCCTGCTGTTGGGTTAGCTTTCTGTTCTTTATCTGTGCATGGAGCAGTATTTCTGACTGAAACTTGCTGCCCCCATATAGGAAGATGTTCTGATCCGGATATTTAGCTTTTAGGTGATATTGGTTTAACAGGGGACAGACCGAACATCTTTGCTTCAACATCTTATTATTACATTTTATCCATAGTGTATACTTGTTTTACAAACCTTATAAAGCCCTGGTATCCAAGGTAATTTAGTATCCATCAAATGTGAGGCCAGCACTCTTTTGAAGGCCTTTAGGTGCAAAGAAGATGGGTGAATTTTGTTGTCCCCCTCCTTCCTGATATTCTATCTAGGTCTGACATTTGATTGGAATTTTTGAGTTTGTGAATTCTATTTGAAATGGATATTGACCTAGAATCACAGGTACGTGAACCTCGTGTTGGTACATATCTTCCTAATTCTGGAATTTGGCACAATACGCAACGATTGCTGAAGAAAGGTGCATCCACTGTAAATACTGTTCATCACTTGGACTTTGATGCTCCAACTCGTGAACATGCTCACCTGCTACCAGATGATCAGGTATCCTGTCTTTGTTCTTCGCTATTGAGATTTATGTTAAACTTATGTTTTTTCAATCAATGAAGGAATCTTTTGTTAAAAAATTGTTTTGTCTTTCAACTAGCCATAGATATACAAGTTTTTGTCCTAATAATTTATGTGATAGCCTTGATTTGAACATGGATAGTTTAGGAAGTTTTTGTCGAATTTAGAATATACCATGATTGCGTTTCATTCGCTTAAAGCAGCAACAATTATCTCCGTTTACAGAAACAAGAGGAATGTCTTTTGGAGGATGTGTGGACATTGTTAAGGGCTGGAAGAGTAGAAGAGGCATGTGATCTTTGCCGCTCTGCTGGGCAGGTATTCAATACCAGTACAGGTTTTCATAACTTTTAGAAAAAGTACTTTATTAGTTCTCATTAGCAAATCAGGTCTTTTTTGCTTCTGGTATCAGTCATGGAGAGCTGCAAGTTTAAGTCCTTTTGGAGGATTGAACATGGTTCCTTCTATCGAGGCTCTTATGAAGAATGGAAAAAGTAGAACCCTCCAAGCCATTGAGCTTGAAAGTGGCATTGGTCATCAATGGCGTCTTTGGAAATGGGCTGCATATTGTGCATCAGAGGTATTCCTACTTGGAACTTGTTTTCGGTGTTTGAGTTATCAAATTTAGCCATTTTGGGTATGTAGTTCTGTCATTTGTTCTACCCTCAAATGGTTGTGGCATGCTTCTAGTTACTTTTCTTCTGAGACAATTTTCAGTTTCTTTTTTTTTGGTAGAAAATTTTAGTTTCTCGTTGGAACTTATATAAGATTGTTATAGTTCACATTCTTCTGTACGAAGTGGTGCATCATGGTTCCATGTTTATTTCACATGAGCTTCACCTTTTAAGAAAAGTGGGATCCTTAATTATACTGACCTACGAACCATCTTTTATTGTAGCCGTCCTCATTGTGATTGGACATAGGTGATAAGATCGGGTTGAATTTGATTTTCTATTGTTATTTTGCAGAAAATTGCAGAGCAGAATGGCGGAAAATATGAAGCAGGTGTGTATGCAGCACAGTGTAGCAACTTAAAACGGATGCTTCCAATTTGTACGGACTGGGAGGTGAACACTTTTTTCCTTTTATATCCTGATTTTAAAGTTTGTTCATCATACTCGTGAAACTCGTTTTTGTGGATATGTGGATCTATTAGTATAGTGTTCTTCTTAGCTGGTATTCATCATATTTAGTGCTAGCTATCTGATTCTTAGTTTCTGTTCACTGGTACTCAGAGGATTTGTTTGTTTTCTATTATTTGGTATCTGTGGGATTTTATAGTGGTTCGGCTTTTTTTCTACACCATTGGGTTAATATCTAAATGCCTAATGTTTTGTTTAAGTTCCTTATTAACCTCTTTATTTTTAGCAATGGAAGAATTTTAATTCCGCCTCATATCTTGCAGTCAGCTTGCTGGGCAATGGCCAAGTCGTGGCTTGATGTTCAGGTTGATCTAGAGCTATCTGGCTTACAACCTGGAAGGTTCGAGCAGCTTAAGAGTCATGGAGATAGTACTGAGGGCAGTCCTGTTCAAAATGACAATGGCCCTCATGGTTCAGGTGGACCACATAGCTGGCCACTACAGGTCAAGAATCAGCAACCAAGGAATCTTTCAGCTCTTCTTCAAAAACTCCATTCCGGGTGGCTTCTTCATTACCTATTTTATTCCTTCTACTAAGTGCTTACTCTGTTTTATTCTTGAAAATGCTAACAGCTGAAATTTTGCTCTACCCAGGGAACTGGTCAATGAAGCTGTTATTAGAGGGTGCAAGGAGCAGCAGCGGCAAATTCAGGTGCTCTTCTTGAGAAACAATTTAGTACTTTTGTCTCTCAAGTGTGCATAACTACTGATTTGAGATACTCCGTCCATGTTTAAGTCATTTAGGTTTTTATAACTCTAGCAATAAAGGAACCAAATTCCCAGCTACGAGTTTAAAATTATTATAAAGCTTTATGCCACTTTAGTTTCGAATTCCCGTTTTTATAGTGTTGTAAAGCCTCTACAAATTAATAACCTACTATAAATTCATATTTGATCCGGTCCTTACTCGAGCCAATGTAAAATATGAGAAAATTTAATAGAATATCAAGGCAATAGTTATTGATGATCAACCTACATAAATACATGTATTCTCAATTCTAAAATTAACAATTATAGAATAAAAATACAATTCATCAAGAAATTTGTAATATAACTATGCTTATCTAAAAAATACGATGAATACTTAGAACCCGATAAGTTATTTTATAAACTTGGAATATTTAGAAGATACAATGAATATTTATGGGCGTAATCGAACTAATTATGTATGATGTATGAATTTGAGTTATTAAGAGAATACAATGAACCTTAAAAGTTAAGTTTATCAAACTACAACAAATTATATTATTATTGAAAAATTGGCCTCCATGTATATTACTTATGAAGGCGGTCGTAAGGTGAATAAATGTCTCAACCATGTTCACTAGGAGAAAAACCACTTTAAATTAACAAATTGTTGATTTATCTATTAATTAATAACTACTATTAATTACTAAATTTCACAGTATCGATTATATAAATTTATAAAGGTCTTACTGTGCTTATTGCCTTATTCTGTCTGAAAAAGAGTTACTATTGTCTTTTTAGTTTCTGCAGCAGCTTTTCGCTGTTTGCTCTGATAAGATAGTACTTTGCAGATGAATATGATGTTGGGGAATATTCCACACCTACTTGACATGATATGGTCGTGGATAGCACCTTCTGAAGATGATGAGAATGTCTTCAGGTCTGGTGTTTCACAAAGCAGGATAAATCAGCGAAGCCTTCCTTTTTCTAGACCGTTAACCTCCTCTTACTAACTATAGTTCTTTGCCAATGCGATTTACCAGGCCTCATGGTGATCCTCAGTTGATACGGTTTGGTGCTCACCTAGTACTTGTGCTTAGGTTTTTACTTGCTGAGGAAATGAAGGATTCCTTTAGAGAGAAGCTAATGAACGCTGGTGATCTCATTCTACACATGTAAGCTTTTGTAGTATCAGTTATGACTTAGTTGCTGTGTACATTGAGTGGATAAATAATACCGATGAGATTAAGTAGTGGGCGTAACTTGGGATTGATTTATGTTAGTTGCCTTAATATACAATGACTGAGACCATAAAAGGGCTAGACATTGCGCTGGCAGACCTGACCATTTGTGCCATAGTCTTGGAATAGTCTGTAACTTTTATATCTAATTATTATTAAAAAAAATCCTGTAATAAACATTTGTGGCATAGTCTGTGCAAGGCCACTTTGTTAACCTCTGCTTGTGTTCATGTTGAAAATGTCATTTGAGATGTTAAACAGAGTTGTCCTGCTGATTTTTTCCTTGTAACCCTCCTTCCAGGTATGTCATGTTTCTATTCTCCAAGCAACATGAGGAGTTGGTGGGCATTTATGCTTCTCAGCTTGCACGTCATCGTTGCATTGACCTCTTTGTGCACATGATGGAACTAAGGATAACCAGCAGGTAGAATTGACTTCTTACTTGCGCTACAATGCATTGTTCTTGTATGGTCACGGATTCTCACATAGAAAAAGCAAAGTTCAATCATCTCTTTTAGCTAAACTTATGCATTCTGTTGTGGTTCTGGCTTGTTGAGAACTGGCTTGCTTATATCTATGTTTGAAACATATAAGGCACTAGCTTAATTGGTATACATATAAATGAGCTATGGGAATAGTTCTTATAGGCTATACCTGGAAGATCTAGTCTTAAACTAGGAGATATGGTGATAAGCCTTTTAGGTGAATGTTGATTTCGATCTGGAGATTCTGCTCTAACACCCTTCCTCCTTTTTCTTGACATGCAGTGTGCATGTGAAGTACAAGCTTTTTCTTGCTGCTATGGAGTACCTGCAATTTTCTCCATTAGATGATTCCAAAGGTAGCTTTGAAGAGATTATAGAAAGGTACGTACTAGTTGGCGTGCATCTTTTGACGTCTGAATGAAGATAAACAGGAAATCATATATCTTAACAGTTTTTTTTATAAGGATCTTAACAGTTTATTCATTATCACAAACTATTCTAACAGGATTCTTTCAAGATCTCGTGAAATCAAAGTTGGAAAGTATGAAAAGTCAGCAGAAGTGGCAGAGCAGCACAGGCTGCAGAGCCTCCAAAAAGCTACGGCTATCCAATGGCTGTGCTTTACTCCCCCATCAACTATTACCAATGTCGAAGACCTTGGTGGAAAACTTCTTATGCGGGCATTGATACACAGGTGAGTGATCCGCATTTTAAGCCAAGCTGCATGGTGTTGTTAACATATGATTAATATATTTCATAGTATGACTGGTAATGTGGGTAATCTATTCCAAAAGATGGAGTGAAGAAGGAACTTTTTTTCAGCAATATTTGTTGCAAATAGATGCCGTGTTAAGTGGTTTATCCTCTTTTTACTGGATGCATATTAGTTGAGAAATTTGCCATACGAAATCTTAGGTTTCTGTGGGAATGGAGGAACCAGTTGGATAGAAAGTGATATATATCAGTGTCCTGGTTCCTTCCTTTTGCCCTTCCATAATATATTAATGAACAGTTTTTCTCCGCAGCAACATGCTCTTCAGGGAATTTGCTTTGATTTCCATGTGGAGAGTACCAGCAATGCCAATAGGTGCACATGCATTGCTTAGTTTACTTGCTGAGCCTCTAAAGCGCCTTTCTGAATTTCCAGCCGACTTTGAGAACATTTCTGAGAACCTAAAAGAGTTCAACGACTGGGTACCTTCCATTGTTAAAATTTCTGTGTTTCTTTTTGTTTTGCTCCGTTCTGTTAGTGTTCTAATTTGGTGTTTTCTTGTGTGATTTGTTGTAATAGAGTGAGTACTATTCATGTGACGCAACATATCGTAAATGGCTTAAAGTTGAACTCGAAAATGCGGAGGTATCCACCACCGAGCTTTCTATGGAAGAAAAACATAGAGCTACTTCAGCAGCCAGAGAGGCGCTTGATTGTTCTCTGTCTCTACTACTAAGTACGCTAGCTCCATCAAACCTTTTTTACATGGTGGTACTGTCCACAAAGTGATTGAAATGTTCTAATGCTTTAAATCATTCGCGCAGGAAAAGAAAATCCTTGGCTAGCTTTTATAGAAGATCATGCATTTGAATCAGAAACTCATGTGTACCTCGAGTTGCATGCCACTGCAATGCTCTGCCTACCTTCAGGTGAATGTATGTGCCCAGATGCTACCGTTTGCACTGCATTGATGAGTGCTCTTTACTCTTCTGTGGGTGAGGAGGTTGTGCTTCATCGTCAATTAATGGTATGGATAATTGTCTTTTTCCTCATTAAGTTAACCCAATGATGATGTGACTTACGCCAATGAGTTGAGTGAGATTGTTTTGAATAACATAGTGGTTTGGTAACTCCAAGAATGTGGGTCAAGTTGGTGAAAAACTATTTGACATGTTGCGGGTAATTAAACATTTGTCCTAAAAATTGCAGGTGCCTGATGAACTGATATCAGACTGATAAAATTGAGCACTCAATTTTTTGTCCCTTTCATGAGGTTTCCTAATCATTGTTATCTGGTGTTTGTGATCGACAGGTAAATGTTTCCATCTCGGGGAGGGACAATTATTGTATTGAGGTTATTCTGCGGTGTTTGGCCGTCGAGGGCGATGGACTTGGACTACTCCAGGCTAATGATGGTGGTGTTCTAGCTACTGTTATGGCAGCTGGTTTCAAAGGTAATCATGTCCTTTCCATGAGGGTTTCCATGAGGTTTATATTACTGAAGTCGTGTTATGAGGTAGGGAGATGAGGTCAAAACCTGGAACTGAAGCTATCGTCGGATGGATGGGCATTTCGGTTCACACTGGATTGAATCGTACCGAATTGTCATTTTGATCGAATTGGAACCGAAGTTAATATGACTCGGCTTCTCAACCTCGAGGCCTTTTCTTTTTACTCCATTGATCCTCTTAAAAGTTATCTTAAAAGAAAAAAGTGGATGGAATCGAACCGGACCAGTCTGAAATGTGTTTACTAAGCTTATGAACCGATTTCGGTCTTTCTTTTCTCTTCATATCTGAATTGCATCGAATATACCTTGCAAGCCCTATATGTTCTTCACAATTCATTCACATGCAGATGTAATCTGTGATATTCATGTTGCTGATAAAATGCTAACATGCTGTATGATCTTTAGGTTTAAAAACAGGATTATATAGAGGCAAAATTTTCGAGTAGGTGAAAAGTGATGACATTATATTGATTCAGTTATGTTTGTCTTTGTTGCAGGGGAGCTTAGCCGGTTTCAACCTGGAGTTACAATTGAAATATCCAGATTAGATGCTTGGTACTCAGATGCAGGAGGTACCTTGGAAGGCCCTGCATCTTACATCGTGCAGGGACTTTGCCGCCGGTGCTGTCTGCCGGAACTAATTCTTCGATGTATGGAGGTAAGCATGTAACCTGTAAGGCTGTACGGGCTAAATGTTTTCTTTTAAGATTCAGAGCTATTTATTGGCGATTTCAACTCTCTCCATGGCCTGTCAGCTGGTTTCATATTTGCAACTTTGTGTTTACGAATTGTGGCATTTTCTTAGGTTTCGGTCTCTCTAATGGAATCCGGTAACCCACCTGAGAGCCATGACGAGTTGATTGAGCTTGTCTCCTCTGAGGAAACTGGGTTCGTCCATCTCTTTAGTCAGCAACAGCTGCAGGTGCGTCGACCACTTTTTCAAATCAAATGACTTGATTCTCCGTGATTCTTATTCTCTGTTGATGTTCCAGAAAACCTACCTTTTTCTTTGGATTACTCAAGATTCAACTTGCATTAGCAGTGCCTGAAACAGATTGTTTACAATCTAGGAACATCTTACCTTTTTCCTGTAACTTCATTGTTTCTTTTCCCCCCTCCTTTTTTTTTTTTTTTTTGAAGCTGACAAGAAATTTATGATTTGTTGACTCAGGAATTTCTGTTGTTCGAGAGGGAATACAACATCGGCCAAATGGAGCTGCAGGAGGAACTCTCATCTTGATGACGAGTTGCTTCATTCACCTTTCTCTTCTGCCATCTCCTGCCTACCTGCGTTAGCTTCCCGCCTAAACATATCGATGGTTCTAAATCTAATCAAAATGATAGATACTTCCATGAATTTGATTCATTGTGGTCTGTTTTCTACACTGTTCAAGCTTCTCCACTGAAATGGAAATTGCAGCCAGGTTAAATGAAGGGTTTCCTTTCAATTGTATGCAGGAGTGGAAGCTGATGGTTTTCTCAGTTTTAGACTCGTATGATGATGGTACATCGGTTTGTTCGTTGTTTGTAAGCAGTTCCAGGTCTCTAGGGGGTTCATTGTGGGTAGAAAGAAGAATGTACTCTGTTAAAGGCAAAGGGATGAGTCTGTGGTTATAGTTGAGTGGGCATATGCTGTTGCGGTTTAGTATTTTTGTACTGATTTCTGCTGCTAGCAGTAAGCCTCAGCCAATTCTCACTGTAATCAATTTCGCTATTTGTAAGTTAGTTTAAATTAAGTGGCAGTAAAACTAAAATTAGTGTGGTCAATTTGAAGTTTAAACATTGCCTATGCCTATGTGGTCAATATTTATTTTATATTTTCAGATTCTTTTTTCACCACAGTCGCTAGAATCCGCTCATCTTCTTCCTCCTCGACGGAGCTGAGGTATCGTCCGACTCACACCCCGAACATCCCTCCTCCTCGTCCACTGCCGCGGCTAACACAAACCTAGCTCGTCTCTCGCTCCCCACCTCCCACCACCAGCCCATGGACTGTGCAATATTTTTTGAATAGCATCGATTTCAGTGGGGAAGAAGAAGAAGGAATAAGGAATTGGGTGTGAAAAGGGGGAAAAGTTAATCTGCTAACTTGAAAATTCGTTAGCAGATACTAACTGATATCCAAAATACATGAACTAGTATCCAAGTACTAAAGTATCTAGAGATCACATACTAGTATTCAAAGTTTGCTAACTGATATCCACCACGAATCAACTATTATCTCAAATTCACAAACAAATATCTAGACAACACAGAATAGTATCCATACAACATATAATTAGTATCCACATAACACATAAAAGTATCCAAATAACACATAAGAGTATCAATATTGAATACTAGTTGGTTGATTGTGGATATTAGTTGGTATCGGCTATCTGGATACTAGTTTGTAATATTTTGAATACTAGTCTGTGATATCTAGATACTCAGCAAACTTGGATACATGTTCATACATTTTGGATATTAGTTAGTATATACTAACAATTTATGCAGTTAGCAGAATAACTAAGCTGGTGAAAAGGGAACTTGTAGAGAGAGGGATGGCAATGGGGCGGGTTTTGTCAAACCCAAACCCATGGGTTTATCCACAAAAAAACCCGGGGTAAAACTCATTGGGTTTGAAAAACTCAAACCCAACCCAACCCGCTGGGTATCCGCGGGTTAATGGGTACCCGTGGGTTTTTGTGGTAAAATATTTACAATAACAAGTTTCTTTCAAAATAAAAGGTTAATATCAATTTTCGCATACAAATTAATCATACAAAAAAACCAATCGAAAGCATACAAGCAAACCGCAAATGATCAATATAAATTGTTAAAAATTAAAGATAAACATCTATAAACAATAAGATTAATTGAAAACTTCTTTCCTCGTCAACTAATTTTTTTCACTCTTCACTTCATAATATCAACTTCATTCTAAACAATTAGAAAGAACAAATTATACATGTCTCCACAAACATAAAGAATATTAGTTGTTTAATGAAGATATATTATTTAGAATATTAAATATACCGGGAAAGTAATTATATGTGTGTGGGCGGGTACCCATGGGGCGGGTTTACCTAAACCCAAACCCAAACCCAACCCGACCCGGTGAATAGTATAGCGGGTTTAAGCCCGAACCCGACCCAAAACCCGTCAACACGGGTTTTATCCGCGTTGACCGGGTTGGGTCGGGTGGGTACCCGTGGGTTCGGGTTTTGTTGCCATCCCTAAGAGAGAGGCCCCGATCGAGGAATCGACTGCTAGGGATAGTTGCAGACAGTGGTCGATGATAGGATTTCTCCTTCCCTTTGACTCATCGAAATCCGTGTTATGGGATTTTCCCTCCCCTTTGGCCCCAATTGAGAAAAAACTTAGAAGGGTTAATTGCAACTCATGGTCACTAAGATTAATTGAATAGTTCAAGTTTGGTCACTCTCTGTTAGTCTCCGTTAGTTTTTTGCTGATGTGGTAGTCAACTATTATAGTTGACCATTAACTGAGTGACGTGACCATTAAAAAATAATAAAATTTAAATATTTACAATTTCCACCTCATTTTACTACTATTAAAAAATAAAAATAAAACTTAATAGATCCCCATCTACGCCACCGCGATTACAATCCATACTCTGTTTTCTGCAGCTGCTGATTTACCTTGAATTGTCGTTTTTCACCAAGCTAATCTCCTTCGATATTCTCCGGTAAGTAGAAGAACCGCTCTCACTGACTCTTCTTTCTTGAAGCTTCAATCTCTTCCGTTTCTGCCGATTTTTAGCTTTCAATCTCTTCCTACGGCGAAGCCCCTGGCTGCTTGCTTCGATTTGGCTTTTCGAATCACCGCCGGCTACTTGGTACTCGGTTTTTTTGGTTTACAATTTGTTATCGGTACTTTCGTTAAGCGATTTTCCTGTGTCGAGTTCCTTCCTTGCTTCTTTTGATTTTGATTTCCGGCTTCGTCGGAAAATTCTAGACTGAAGTCCGAAAGTGGGGAAGATGTGAAGTGCTTGATTTTAGGATTGGTATTAATTGCAGTTCATGCTCATTGAAAACAGAAAATTTGAGGTTATATAAATATTCCAACGCAATATAGTTCGACCAACGGTCGGTTACCGAGCTAGTACTTCCTATGCGATTGCATGAGAGAGTCATCCAAGTTCGTATCCGAAATCCTCTCCCACCTCTACGACTCCGCCCCAGTCGACGAAATCAGCTTGGAAATTAAGGGCGCCTTTGACCATTCGACGCTTTCGCTCCGCCGATGAGGAGGATTGAGAGCCCTGGAATTATTTTAACGAAGTGGGATTCGGTTCCCCTGCTTTCAGAATGCTCGCGACTCTGCATCTGGAGGGCTGCCAGGTGTATTGCCAGGGCAGCATCGATCGGCTCGACCCGTTCGTCGATTTCCCCAATCTACACGATCTATCCTGACGCGCGCGTTGCAGCTGGAGGGGTGACTGTGAAGATGATGGCGAGGAGGAACACCCCATCTGGTTGAGAATCTCCGGGATCAAATTGCTGAATCTGAAGATAGACGTGCGCAACATCGAAGTATTCGCGCAGAATCTCGAGTCCTTCTACTACGGAGAATGTACAAGAGTGTAGATTGGTGAGTTGCATCTTCCTTCCCTTTACCGCGCTTATGTACATATCTCGAATGTACATGGTGGAAATTATTAATATTTAAATTTTATTATTTTATTATTTTTTAATGGCCACGTCACTCATTTAACGGTCAACTATAATAGTTGACCGCCACATCAGCAAAAACTAACGGAGATCAACGGAGAGTGACCAAACTTGAACTATTCAACTAATCTTAGTGATTATTAATGGAATTAACTATTTGCAGTGACCAAACATGAACGTTTTTAGTAAACCCAGTGACTATTCTTACAATTAACCCAAACTTAGAATGTTCATCTTCTCTAGAATTTTGGATGAATTCTATGGAACCCTCAATCTTTCTCTCTCCCTGTGCCTCAACAATGGAGATGGCGGTGGTCATGCTCAGCAAATTCCCCACCTACCCTGCACGCCATTGCGGATCTTCTTTGGAGTAGATATGGCCATCGATTTGGGTGGAACCGCCATCGTCGCCGTCAACAAGCTGCTCTGTCGTGGAGGCGTGTAACGAACAGGCCTTAAGTGTAAATAACCAGAAGTAGTGATGTAAATGGGAATTGTAGTTTGAGGGAGCGAAGTAGATATTTTCCAAGTTGTATAAAGGGGAGGCGCGTAGACCGTTGTAACCAATTCTGAGATAATAACAAACTTCTCTTTCCCTTCTCTCTCTAAACTCTCTCTCCTTTCTTAGTTCTTCCCTCTTCCTCTCTTCTCCCTTTCTTCGTCTCTTGTAATTCTCCTTCGCCAAGTCAATCCACAGCTCCCAGGGGTGACAAGGTGGTATCAGAGCCCTGAACTTGGCACTCATCAAAAATGGCGGCCACTCGCAGTTCTTTCGATGAGCTTCTCACAGCTCATATGGCATCGACATCCCAGGCATAGGGTGAATTGGACGACAAAATCACCGACGTCCGCAACCGATTCAAGGATTTGGTGACTCGATCTGACGGCCATTCGCAGCAATTTGTCAACCTTACCGCTCGTTTAGATTCCATGGAGGCTGGTACAGCGACGTGATTGACTAAATTGGAGGAGCGTCTGGATACTCGTTTTGGCAATTTCACTCACGAAATCAGAGAAATGCTCCAACTGATCGTTAATTCACGGCCTCCGGATCCCATTGCCGGTGCGGCGTGTTCGCTGGTTGATCGGAATGTAGCTCGCGACATTCTTCCTCTTCCGCCGCAAGGGTTCAGGGGAGTCGGTCCTGCCGTGGTGCAGGCACCTAGGGTTCCAGCTCCGTTTCATCAGGTTGCTGAGCGGGAGTTCTGTCCGGCTCTGACCCTAGGTAATAATCATCAGCTTCCCCGCCTTGATTTTCCCTCCTTCAATGGCGACGATCCGCGAGAATGGACTAGGAAATGTGAGAAACTGTTTGAGATTTATGCTATCCCTAACGACCAGAAGGTAAATTTGGCGGTGATATATTTCCAACGCCGTGCGGATTTGTGGTTTGAAGGCTGGAAGATTGGTCGACAGGTGATGGTGTGGGAAGACTTTGTGGCGGCACTCTGCCAACGATTTGGCAATCGCACTTATGGTGGTGTAGTTGCTGAGTTCAACAAGCTCAAGCAGCAAGGTTCTTTAGCGGAGTATCAAGAAAAGTTTGAGGAATTGCGTTCATTAATGGCTCGCTTTAATCCAGGCCTGGATGAAATCTATTTCATTAGTAGTTTTATCAGTGGCTTAGAAGAGGAATTGAGACCAGTATTACAGATGTGGAACCCTCAAACCTTGGCCGATGCTTTTCAGCTAGCTCAGTTGCAGGAGGAATCCAATGCAGCCCATCAAAAGAAGTGGCGTGCATCTCATGGGGGTCCTAGTCGTCCAGTGGTGGTTTCCAGTAACACAACTACTTCTTCACCTCGTCGTTGGGATGGTCCTTCTCTGAGACCTGCAGGTGGGGTAAAAGCTCCCGTGGTGAACTCAAAGGGAAATGGAGCGAGAGGAGTATGCTACAAATGTGGCGAGAAGTATTTCTTTGGACATGTGTGTGGGCCAAAGAAGCAACTCAACATTTTGCAGGTTGAAGGAGAAGATGCTGCTGGGGAAGAATGGACTGCACCTGAGGAAGAAGAAGTGTTGGAACCATGTTTGGAGTCACTACAAAGTGAGTTAGAGGAAGTGTCTATGCAGGCACTTAATAGTGGGGGTATGGCCAATTCTTTGATGTACAATGCAAGGTTAAACATGACAAGATCTTCATTTTAATCGA